TATATATAATCACCAGTAAAAAAGGGATTTAGTTGTATTTTGTTTGTTTCTTTAGGTGTAGCGCTGGGTATGAGAATCAACTGGGGTTATGGTTTGCATTTTAGAAATGCATGCACTCTCTATCTTACAGAACAGTTCTGTGTACTTAACTATCCATCACGTTCTTTCTGGATGTTACAGCACAAGTTATTGGAGGAGGATATCCCTCTGCTGATGTGTACACGAGTAGAGTCCATGTTAGTCTCTTCAGGATCCGGCTGGGTGTGAGCTTTGATGAGGAGCTGCGATGGGTTATTCTCAGTTAATATAGTGGTTTGTCAAGGTCTTATTTTCTGTGTGACTGTGCCATTTTTTTCTGTAACTTTGCTATAAACTGATTTCAATGACTTCTAATGGACTGTTTTGGTACTTGTACTGTTCTTCATCCGAAGAGGGACCAAGCGACTCGGCGCAGTTGTTGCACATACGGGATGAAAGAGGGGAGATGGATGAATGCCTGTTGTACCTTTTAGGTGTGTAAGAGGTTCTATTTTAATTTCCCTTTTTTTCCCCATTACATTCACGGTACTTTCATGAACTGGACTAACTGAATAAAGCTGAAACCAATTTGGTGAAGAACATGTTGCAGCTGCTTTGTGGACTTGTTGGTGATGAGCCTTACATTTTGTTCATCGTAATGCACAAACATTGTGATAACTAGAATTCAGATCACCTTTGACGGTTCTTGACAGATCTACTGAGGTTATTTCATTTTGTATCAGTGGCCTCATTGGTTCTGATCCCTAGGGCCATTTATTTTCAGGCTGGAAATCCTCTGGTATTATACTACGTGCCCTTTTGGTTTACCATAATCATGTGTGGATTACAATATGTTTCAAATGCGTCTAAATCCAGTTTGTACTCTTAACTGTTTGACAGGTTTTTCTCCTCTTGCCTTATTTAAAGCCTCTACCTTTTCAGATGGGTAACTTAAGTAAGGCTCTGTGTACTTGAATGTGAAAACACTTTAGTCTCAAACTACAGGCATCTCCAATTAGAAATGAAATAATAAAACTGTTAAAGAATAGCTGTAACCCATGTCTTATAATATGTGCGTGATGTTACTGCTCGGTTCAGTCTGACAATTCCTCTAGGACAGCATTTGTTAGTTTAGGCGACATGAGTAGTTGTCATTAACTATACATCGATGGTATAAAATAATGGTTGTGTGTCGAGATTACAAATCAGCTTTTTGTTCTAAATCATTATTGACTAGTTGCAGTAGAGAGCTCAACATGTTCCCTCTGGAGTGTATTACCTGTAGCAGCATGTGCCGGAATTGCGCCAGGGAAGGGAAACTGCAGGATTTTTTTATATATATATATATATATATATATATATAATTTTTTTTTTTAATAAGCTTTATAAATATTTTATGAGGAAGGAAATGCATTCAACACATTTGTCAGACCTAAAGATTAAATTTATTTTGTATAGCCCAAAATGCCTCAGAGGGCTTTACAATCTGTACACATGCGACATCCTCTGACCTTTGACCCTCACATCGGAACAGGACAAACTCCCCCAGAAAACCCTTTAACGGGAGAAAAGAGGGAGAGACCTGTGGGAGAGCAACAGAGGAGGATCCTCTTATCAGGATGGACAGAAGTGCAATAGATGTCATGTGTACAGAATGAACAACATTTACAGAGTTACAACACATCCAATGCATATGACAGAACCACAGCAGGAGGCAAGACCAGGGTCCAGGTATCACCAGTATCCACAGAAACCTGCGAGGAGAGAAAGCACAGAGACTCTGAGGAAGAAGCAAAATCAGTAATGTGCGTTAATGGTATCGGTAATATAAATAATAATGGCAGTGGGAGTCAGCAGGGCCATGGCGGGAGGAAGGAGCAGGGTCTAGATATAACCACGATCCATGGAAACTTGCAAGATCCACAGTGTGAGTAACACTGAATGGTTGTCTATTAGAAAACTCCACAGGGCACCTTTAAAAGGTCTTAACCCAGACTGCATGGTTTTTACATCACAATGGAAACATCTTTCTGTGTATAAACACGGTTTATAGATTGTGGACTCTTCTATAAACCATTTCAATAAGGATTCCATCCTAAACACTGAAACCGCACTCACCAAAATCACAAATGACTCATTGCTGTCCTCTGACTGTCGCCGCAGCAATACCTTTGAAGAGGTAAAACTCCACTTGTTGGACCAACGCGGCCCAGCTTTTGGCCTTCATCAGGGACATTTCATTGTGACGGCGAGATGAAGCATTGAAGCTTTCCATCCAATTGGTTCACTTCTGGGCCGAAGCTTCATTTGCTCTACTGTGCCATCAAGTGGACAATAAATGTAAAACAGGCAGAGTGATGATAATGACTTTTGTGTGTGAAGCTTTGGATTGCATAATTGAATGAATGATGTTTGTGATGCTCCAATAGATTGCAAACAAACGCGCAATAAAGCCCCAAGTCGACAAAATGTGAAGGGGGGATCCATTGTGTTTTGCTGCCCCTTATATTTCGAATCGCAAATCCTTCTGTGTGCATTTGTAAATCGAATATATTTGTGAATTGTTCCGTTTGCATTTGTGAGTCTTTCTGTGTGCATTTGCAATTATTGAGACTGATCTGACCCCATACTCCAGCTCTTCCTGTAGTTTGCTCCAGCCTCTCTTCTTTTACATCACTTCTTCTCATTCTTTGGGGTTTTCCAGCTGTTGGTAACCTTTTAAATTGCATTACTGCCTCCTAATGGATTTAATTGTCCACTGAAATCCTATTCTAGTAATAGCCTTGATAATAGTCTGCTTTCCTTCAAAAACCTAAGAATCAGTTTTACTCTCTCCACCGTGTCTCCACTGTCAATAGGCCCTTTTTTGCAGCAGCCATTTAACGTGACACTGCAGGGTGAACACAGGTGTGATTAATAACACTGATTACGGCCCTGTTCCATTTAGGTGGGCCACGACCCTGGTATTGTGTATGCTGGCTCCCTGGAATGACTGACCCACAAAACAGAATGGTACCATAATTAAAAACCATAAAAAAACACCTGTGTTTACCCTACTATAACATGTCAAAATGGCTGCTGTGAAAAGGGTCTATAACATAATTAATCCTGGCCTCTTATCATCCTGGCGACTGAAGTCCTGCAGTCATGGGCTTTCTTTCCTCTTCATACTTCCTGCATGGAATCAGGATGTCTCCTTTTCTTGAGACTGATTACATTGACTGATTATAGTTTGTTTTCCTATGAAAAATAGTGTACCATTCAAGTGACCAAGTGTTAATCTGCTCATGATTACTGTTATAGTCTGTCTTATTCGTACCCCACCTACTGTATTTACCTATTTAATGCGTCTTCTTTTTGTCACACTATCCTGATACTGTTGCCACTGTTTGCTTATTTACCTCCAAATATCAACTGAAAATAGTTGCTACAAAGGTAAAGTATAAAAATATATAATAAGTATAATGACATATAATATGTTATGTATGGTTGCTGTTTTACATCAAAATAAGGTAAGAATCTTACTAACTTGATCAACATGTTGTCGAATTGATCATCAAATAATAATCAAATTTATATCGGACATCAAACAAAAACAAATCAGTGGTGAAAGAAGTACTCTAATCTGTTACTTAAATACAAGTTGCAATACCACAGTCTAGAAATAGTTACAAAGTAATGCATTCAAAATAATCGAAAAAGCACAGTAACTGTATGGGCATAATTATGCTCATATATTGTGCCCGATTTCTGGACCCATTTTGTTCTGTAATTTGTATCGCGCAATATTGGCCTAAATACTTCGGTGAAAGAATAATAGTTATTGCTTTTCTAGTATCATTGTATTAAAAACAACGTTTGGGACAAAAAGTTACTGTTGAGGACATGAAGTCGGCTACAATGTTTACAAATGTTGGCAGTTGCATTGTGGGAGACAGATGATTGACACGGCCGCCATTTTGCTCCTGCTCTCTCTCTGCTTCCATTGTGTGAGAGATAGTAAATATCTGACACTGCCAGACAACCACAACTCACTTGTGTCCTCGCGAAGAAAAATCGCTAAATTCAGCCTCGGTAAGTCAAATTGCTGTCATACTTTTTAAATCATAGAATAGTATTCACCTTTTTGTAAAGAAAATGAGACGGATAAAGTTGTTTTTGTGCTGAAATGGCGTGTTATTTCGACGCGGTAGAGAGGAGAAAAAGCAGCTACCCTGATGCCAGGCTGAGAGAAACACGGCTCAGTACTTCCACTGAGAGAGCAGCTCCACTTTCATGAGCGGTTTACACTTCGCTGTTCTGCTTTAATACACCATTGACTCTCACGCGGTGACGCTTATTTGATAGCTGCACTTGTCTCCTACGTTTTGTCGGTAGTCTTGTGTGCACACGTTGTTTGATTTTGAGGTAAAATATCAAAGTTTCCGTCCCGCTCATTGCCTGTGTATTGGTAGGTTCATTTGGGTCTGCGGCCATAATCTTGCGGAATGAGGCGGCCTTATGGCTGCTCGTCCCGCCCTAAAACCCAGAGGACTGACACGCCATTGGTCCAAAAATGCGACACAGCCACGGCGGATTGGTGCATGTGAGAATATGACCAGTTTAGCAGTGTGATTGGTGTGGTCTTTATCCAAAGCTGTTTGTCTGTGCAGCTGACAAACCGGTGAAAAGTTTTCCCAGGAGGTCAAATATGATTGACCATCAAAGTCCCAATCCTGTCCCCCTAAAGCCTCAAACCCGGAACCCTCAGGGACTGACTGACTCGACTAAAATATAAGATGTTATGCAGATATTTGGGTGAAAATAGTGATGATATTAAAACAGCTCACAAAGTTCTCTAAATTCATGCTTCACTAACATGTTGATAAGAATTATTTTATCCATATATTTTCACAGCTTTTTGTGAGTTTTAGGGCTCCAAACATAAGCATTCACATTTAGGCTAAATATTTCGTACAGCGTTATCAGAGGCTGGCTTAGAAACCATCAGTGGATAACATGATTAATGTCAATAGGGTGTCCAAATAGCGGCTCTGAAACATGTCGGAGAGAAAAAGTATGGAGTATAGAGTGAACAACACTAATCATCCTGTTATATATTTGCTATTCCTTACAGGTGATACTTCGTCGTAATGGCTCGTACCAAGCAGACCGCTCGTAAGTCCACTGGAGGAAAGGCTCCTCGCAAGCAGCTGGCCACCAAGGCTGCCCGCAAGAGTGCCCCCTCTACTGGAGGCGTCAAGAAGCCCCATCGTTACAGGTAACACCACACACACACACACACACACACACACACACACACAGAAACAGCCATTTCTTTGACAAATCTTAACATCACTGAGACCATCTTTATCAAGATGAGATGGAGAGAAGAAGGATGTTGTAGTTGTATGTTTTATACACCATTACATTTTTAACTGGAAAATCTTAAATCCAGCTTTATGTTTTTATACTTTTATTTACTAAAACCTCTTGGTTGCACAGAGTGACACACCAGTACATTGGCAGCATTAAAACTTGATGTTACATTCACATTCACTGTACTGATCAGAAACTGAAATGGGGCTTTCTTTTTTTTTTTAATTTTAAAGTGACAAAATGTCATTATTTGTACAGAAGATGAATCCTGATGAGCTTGTAGCGGGTTAAATTAACCTGCTCGAGCTTTGTTGTGCGTTTCAGGCCCGGCACCGTGGCTCTGAGAGAGATCCGTCGGTACCAGAAGTCCACCGAGCTGCTGATCCGCAAGCTGCCCTTCCAGCGCCTGGTGAGGGAGATCGCTCAGGACTTCAAGACCGACCTGCGTTTCCAGAGCGCCGCCATTGGAGCCCTGCAGGTGTGTGTTTGTGTGTGTGCACAAAATGTATTGATAAAGCTACATCAGTGTAATCCGTAAAACTGGTACACTTCTCCTGCTAATATGTGTTGCCACCCCCCCCCCCCCCCCTGCCTGCAGGAGGCCAGCGAGGCGTACCTGGTGGGTCTGTTCGAGGACACCAACCTGTGTGCCATCCATGCCAAGCGTGTCACCATCATGCCCAAAGACATCCAGCTGGCACGCCGCATTCGTGGGGAGCGCGCTTAGACGGCCCTCCCTAATGTTTCACCTCTGTCCTGTTTTTTCTTAACCTGTCCCCACCCCTACTCCTTTATTCCACCCACCTTCACCCCTCCCTGTCACCCTCCCGCCTGCCCAGCTTCTCAGTAGACTTTAGAGTAGTCCTGATTCTGAAGAGATAGAAATGTGTTGAAGTCTGGTCTCATAGGTTTTCTTTGTCTTCACCAAATGTTTTTTTAGGGTACCTTTTTCGTGCATGTAAAAGGTTTTGCAGATCAGACACACGTGCACACATAACTCAAACGTGCGTCACTGAGTGTGCGAAGCCCTTTGAGCTCTCCTGGATTCTTCCATGGTGGGAGGCCGGCAGGTGCGGTCAGTGTGGCAAAACCGAGCTGAGGCAGAGGGACGTGGCCGAGGGGCTAGTCTGCTTAAGGGGAGCTGCAACTTCCACAGCAGGGTGCTATTAAAGCTAGTCCTGAGGCCTCTACCCCGTCTGAACCCCCCCTCCCTCTGCAGCCAGACGGCTCTCTGTACCTCTTCAGACCACCTCTTCCCCTCTGTAAGCCGCACTGGAAGGGGATGGCGCTCTGTTGGTGTGGATGTGTGAGCGCTGATCTTTTAAACCACTTGTACTCAAACAAGTTTTTTTTTTTTTGGTTGCTTAAGAATATTGATTATCGTTGTGGATATGGTGTCTATTTTTTTTATGCATATAACACGGATGAGCATCTCTTCTCTTTACCACTTCCAAAATCAGCAAATTAAGAGAGAAAAAACAATTAATATTGCCTCTATGGCTATCTTTTCTTTTTGTTTTGCAGTGATCTGATCTGCTATAGAAGAGCAGGAAGGGCTTCTCTATTTTCAAAGGCAACTTCTATTCTAATGGCAGCCACACGGGGGCGATGGTCTACTGTCTCTATTCAGTTGTTCATCACACATTATGCTTCTGTCTCTCTTTATCTCCACAGATAGGCTTGTCACAATAGTATGAATTAACATTATAGTGCAAGTTACACTCTGTTTGTCTGCTGCTCTCTGTTGATCTGAACATATAATCTGTCCCTTTCTCAAAATTTGTGATACACAATATAACCTCATATTTGTTTTCTTTTATATTTTTCTTATTCCTCGAGATTTTCAGACGTATAAATAAGCCGATCTTTGTATTTTCCAAATTTCTCATATGGTGGTAATAAATAGGTGTTAAAACGAACTGATTGCCAGTTGGTGTGATTCATTTGCTTTACAGTGTTTCACTGTGAAGGCACTGATGTGTGTCTTATTGGTCATTCAAAAGAAAGGTTGGATATGAGTAAGTTCAGTTTTTATCATTGTTGAAAACAAACTGTCGGATATAATCCAGCAATCATCTTTCAATGTAATAAATACCTAATAATATTGCAAATGGCAACAACATGGCAATTTGCAAATATACTTTATACTGCACTGTGTGTTGCTTCATGGTGAACTGATGAGAGAAGTACACCACACGCTGTCTCAACAGGAGTTTCCTTTAGTCAGCATATATCTGAAGCTGGAATAACCTTAAGTGAAACCTTAAACGGGCAGTTTTCTGTTAGTCAAAGTTACACTTGGTTTACCTAAAGTGAATTTAACAGCACATCTCACAGATGACAATGCATTGAAAAGGTCATTTTATTGTCAATAATGTCTTGCTCTAGAGTCCAGCTTGGATCAGAATGATCTAGAACTGAATTGTTTTTTAAAAGAATCAAACCTGACTCGTACTGCAAATATAATTTGTATTAAAGCTGCGAGCAGCGATGTACGGGCCCTCGCACCTTCCCGCGTCTCGGGGGTACTGGCGGGACGCCGGCAGACGCGGCCATACACATCTGCAACCATCGGACAGCGTGCCCACAAGTTAGACGTATTTTTAAAGCTTGGACTGTGTGACGCTGGAAATGATGTAGTGCAAATATTCCACCAGTTCCTGTATCCACTATGTGGCGCTAGAGAACACGCGCAGACATGCATTATGTTGCTCTACATAGAGTATAGACCACATCATGTAAATCGAATTCACTTTGTCACATAACGCTGTCTTCCTGTTGCCGAGTCCCTGAAAACGTGAGAAAAGAAGAAGTTTCCTCTTTGTTTTAACATGTTTAAAGTGTTTTAATTCGGCTTGCTTTTAATGCACGTAGCAGACCTAAGTGACACGCAACATTATCTGTTCATTAATAAACGTATCTACGGTGGACTAAGTTAAATATATCCATTACCAATTGAAGAGTGGATTCTATTAATGAGGAACAATAAGTCGTGTTTTATAGTTACGGTAGGTGTGCTTAGGCTTGGGAAACAATAAATATGTCATATTTTGGATGGAGTCTGGTGTGAATACTGCATGCTTGAAGAACAAAAGCATGTTACCATAAAATACAAAATGTGAACATCAAACTTCCCTCAAGAGTAACCTAACACTGCCACATATATGTGTTAATATTATTGTGATGTTTCTAAAATGATCTAAATAAATACCTTTTAGGGACAAAGATCTTCATGTGTATCAGCTGGAACATCCCACCCAAGTGTGGAGTGGACGTCAGGGAAGAGTGACTTCATACTTTACATTTTAGCAATACTCATTATCTGAAAATATTACATTTCAAATTGGTCTGCATGCAAATTTGAAACACAGAATAAGCGTTAATTGCATTTAAAGTCAAACGGAACCTTTTATCTTTGTGTTTCCAGCCGTGTGCGTGGCAGGATTCAGTCCGTCTACAAATGAAATCCTGGAGCTGCATTTGCCTCTGAAAGTGTTCGCTGATGACAATAAGGTGAGAGTTTATTCCAAACTTTGGGTTTTTACAAACATCCACACGTTACTTTATGCCTCTGCTGTGTGTGTGTGTGTGTGTGTGTGTGTGTGTTGTGTTCAGGGTCTTTGTGCAGAGCGGGACTTTAAAGTTGTCCACGGTGGGTTAACAGACGGTCCTGTCCGCGTCCTCAGACACGTCCCAGGAACGAGGTGAAAGGGAAACATTCATTCAGGAAGCTTCATTCCTGAGCTTTGCTTTATTGAAGTGAAGATAAAACACAGATAGAGAAACGTAAAGCCAATTAAACACCTTCGAAGAAGAAGAACACCAAAGTAGAACTGATGTTATTATTCCTCAATTAAACATTTAGTCTGTGAAATGCCCAAAATCATCTCAATTCTCAATCACAGTTTACCAAAAGACAAAGAACACAACAGTCAAAAAGTCAGAGTAATAATTTTAATATGATACGAGATTAATCGTACCGATGTGTCGTTTCCTTTAAGTCAGATAATTGAACTGTTTGTATTTTGGGGGAAATTCGTCTCTCCAAAAACCGAGGAAAAAATGTGAAGAAAAGAGATTAAAATAGAAAAAAATACAACATATAGATAAATAAGCACACACATATATATGTATATATATATATATGTGTATATGTATATATGTGTATATGTATATATGTGTATATGTATATATATATATATATGTGTATATGTATATATATATATATATGTGTATATGTATATATATATATATATATATATGTATATATGTATATATATGTATATGTATGTATATATGTATATATATGTATATGTATGTATATATGTATATATGTATATGTATGTATATATGTATATATATGTATATGTATGTATATATGTATATATATGTATATGTATATATATATATATGTATATGTATGTATATATATGTATATATGTGTATATGTATGTATATATATGTATATATGTGTATATATATGTATATATGTGTATATAT